CCCTCCTCCCCCCTGCCTCCTGCCTCCCTCCGGCTCCTGCTTCCTCCCCCTCTCCCCCCCTTCCTCCTCTCGCTCCCCTGCTCGCTCTTTCCTCTCGTTCTTCCTCCCTCCTCCCCTCCTCCGTCTACAGCTCTTCCCCCCTCCTCTCCCTCCATCTTCGTCCCGTCGTCGTCCTGTCTCTCCTGCGCTCGTGCTCACACTCTCAATCCCATTCGGTTTCCACTGCACTCCGCTGCACTCCGCCCTCCTCCTCCTCCTCCTCCTCGTCCTCCTCCTCCGTCCGCTCCTTCCGAGAGGAGGATGAGGAGGATAAAGAGGGGGAGGAGAAGGATGAGGAAGAGAAAGGGTAGGTGGAGGAGGCGGAGGGGGAGGACGAGGAGGGGCAGGAGGGGAATCGGGAGGAGAATCATGATTCTGGCCTTTTCGGGCCCTCCTTCGGGTCGTCTTGAGGCCGTCTTGGGCCGTCTTGGGGCTATACTGGGCCGTCTTGGGTCCACATTGGCCCGTCTTGGAGTCATCTCGGGGCCGTCTTGGAGTCATCTTGGGGCCGTCTTGGACTCTCTTCTGCCACGTATTTGAGGCGTTGGGACCGTCTTCGAGGCGGGTTGCGTTGACTTTGGGATGTTTACGATTTTTCTGGCCGGGGGGATGCGCCGATACTTTTTTTGTGGCATGCTAAGCACCCCTGTGGCAAGCCATAGGGGGCGCCTTCGGCCTATCCCGCCACCGTGCCTTGATCGTGCACAAGAGACCTCTTAGATGCTTGTTGGGGTCTCCCTGGAATCCTCTCGAGGGGGGTATTGTAGGGCCTCTTGGGACCTTTTGAGAGCCTCTTGGGGGACCTTGGGGGCGTCTCGGGGTCTTGGGGGGAGGGGGGGCTCTAGGGGTCCTGCTGCCGGTCTGGGGGGCTTTCGAAGACGCCTGCGGCGAATCACCGCCGCCCCCTGCCCTTTGGAACCTCCCATGTGGCCAAGCGTTGTGGCGGGTGGCCTGCACACGCGAAGACACGTGGTTCCAGCTCGGGACCACCATGTTAGATATCCGATTGGGTGGCCTGGGCACGTAACGATCACGCGTGGTTCCAGCTCGGGACCACCATGTTCGATAACACAGTTGGACATTTGGAAAATCACCAGCCGAAGACACTGTGTCAAGTTATTGCGCATCCGGTGTCGATCTATTGGTTTTGTCTGGCTCTTGTGGGCCCCCGCGCTGGGGCGCCCAGACGACCGCGTGTTAGGTGCTGCCTCTTTGGTGGCCCGCATGGGTGGCAACCATGTTGGGTGCCCCTTTTGGGTGGCCTGGACACGTGGCAAAACCACTTGGTTCCAGCTCGGGGCCACCATGTTCGATGCCCCTCTGGGTGGCCTGGGCACGTGAAAACACGTGGTTCCAGCTCGGGGCCACAATTTTAGGTGCCTCTCTGGGCGGCTTGGGCACATGAGAACACGTGGTTCCAGTTTGGGGTCACCGTGCCCGATGCCTCCCTGGGCGGCCTGGACACATCATAACATGGTTCCGCCGAGGGGCAATTTTGAACCAAGGCTCCAGCTCAGAACCTCCATGTTCGATCCCCCACACTTGGGAATCTGGGAAACCACTCGCCGAATAAATTGCGTCAGGTTATTACACATCTTGTGCGTAGATTTGTTGATTTTGTTTGGCTTCCGTGGCCCCCCAAGCTGGGGCGCCCAGGCGACCGCATGTTAGAGGCTCCCACCGCCCCTTCTTGGGTGGCCCGCACGCGTAAAAAAAACACGTGGCTCCAGCTCGGTGCCACCATGTTGGATGCCCTCCTTGGGTGGCCTGGACGCGTGCAAAACACGTGGTTTCAGCTTGGGGCCACCATGTTCGATGCCTCCCTGGGTGGCCTGGACATGAGAACACGTGGTTCCAGCGATGGGCAAGAGGCAGCCACCTTAGATAACCACACCTGGGCAGCCTGGACACTTGAAAACACGCGGCCCCAGCTCGGGACCACCATGTTGAATATCCACGTTGGTGGTTTGGACGCGTGGAAACACGTGGCCCCAGCTGGGGTCCACCATGTTCGATGCTCCTCTGTGCGACCTGAACACGTCAAACCTCGTGAGTCCAGCTCGGGGCCACCATGTAAGATACCCTTCTGGGTGGCCTGAAGACAGACGGCTCCAGCTCGGGACCACCATGTTATGTTTCCCAGGGGGAAATCAGCAAATCACCCGCCGAACAAAACGCGTCAAGGTGTAGTGCATTTGGTGCCGATGCATTGACTATGTCTGGCTCCTGTGGGCTCCCACGCAGAGGGGCCCAAGCGCCCACTTCTTTGATACCCCCCCGTTGGTGGCCCGCACTGAAAAAAAACAAAGGTTTCAGCTCGGGGCAGCCGTCAGATACCCCACCTGGGTGGCGTGGACACTCAAAACCACATGGCTCCAGCTCGGGACCACCATCTCAGATACCCCCTGGGTGCAGTGCCGTTTTTTATACATGCTCCGCGTGCGGGTCATGTATTCAAAATGCAGGGATTTAGTATTAAAAGCAAAGATGAGTTCATGCATGAAGTTATTCCCAAATTAATCATGTATTAGACATCCCATATGTCAAAACAATCCTATGTATAAAAAATCTGCCCTGTAGCTTGTACACGTGCAAAACAAGTCCCATATGGGGACAACCATGGTAGAGATTTCAGTGGACGACCTGGGGACGTGAAGACATACATTTCGCCCGAGACATCCTCTGGCCCCCAGGAGAGTAGGACTCTACTTGACAAAAGAAGCGTTTGGCTCGAGACACCCGCAGTCGTCCGGAATGTCCCAAACCAGCGTTTCGCTCGGGACATCCGCAAAATTTTAGCCGCCGGCCCTCTTCGACCTGGATATTGATCGGACATTTATCCGCCGGCCTTCTTCGAACTTGGCACCAGGGACAGGTTTATCATCCTACAAGCGAGCCTTGGGCCTCTCCACTCAGTGCCTACGGCATTTTGGCGAACTTGCAGGGCAAAGGGATGAAGGAGGATGGCGAGGAGGAGGAGGAGGGCGAGGAGGAATAGGAGGAGGAGGAGGAGGAGGAGGAGGAGGAGGAGGAGGAGGAGGAGGAGGAGGAGGAGGAGGAGGAGGAGGAGGAGGAGGAGGAGGAGGGGAGGAGGAGGAGGAGGAGAAGAAGAAGAAGAAGAAGAAGAAAGAGGAGGGGGAGGAGGAGGAGGAGGAGGAGGAGGAGAGAAAAGGGAGGGGGAGAAGCAGGAGGAGGAGGAGGAGGAGGAGGAGGAGGAGGAGGAGGAGGAGAACGATGACGAAAAAGGCGAACCGGAGCATGGCGCCCGCACCCCCCGGACAGGTTTCCGTCCTGCGGGGCGAGCCGGCGGCCCAGGAGGGGCAGCGGGGCGGGGCGGGGGCGGGGGGGGGCCTCGTCTGGGAGGGCGGAGCGGCTCGGCGCGGGGCGCGTGGTGCGGAGGGGCGGCGGCCGAGGCCAGGAGAGGGGGAGGCGGGGGCTGATTCTGCGTCTTTGCTGCTCTACACTCTGTCGTTCTGCCTCGTCGTCGTGCTGCTGTGCATCTCAGCTCGCACGGCGCGCACTGGGCAGGGGGTGTGCGCGCTCGGGCTGTCGCGCCGCTGGAGGAGGAGGGAGCAAGGCGTGGGCTGGCATAGCCACCAGGGGGGCACGCAGAGCTCGTCTGTCCTGTCTCCCTTCTCCTCCCTGTCTCCTCCCTTCTCCTCTCTCATCCCCTCGTCCGCCTCCTCACCTCTGGGGAGGGTGCCCTGGGATGTTATGTGTTTGTTTTGATCGACGGAGGATCTTATGTTCTTGAGGGATGTTCTTTTGGCCTAGGTCTGTAGATCGGAAGGCGGGGGAGGGGGGAGGCCACCGTCTGGACGGCGCTCAAAGGATGTTTTGGTTGTAGAGCAGTCGTTCTGGTTGTAAAGGAGCCCCTTTTGGCTGGATAAAGGCCTTTCTTGAACTTGGTTGTAGAAATACGTTTCTTGGTTGTAAATATGGTTTCCTTGGCTGTAAACATCTGATATGGTTGTCAACTGTTCCTTTTGAGCCAGAACCCATCAGTTTGCAACCCTTGCTTGCATAAAGTTCCATATGGTTCTAAGCATGCCGTTCCTTGAATGTGAAACGCTTCAATCTCAAGGGAGGGGGTGGGGGGGGAGGATGCCGGGACAAAGAGGGGGCGCGGCGTCAAGGGGATCGCGCTGGAGAGGCGATGGGCTGGGGGCCAGGCGCCACTGCCCCAGAGCCAGCCGCGCCGCCTCCTGAGCATCCAGGACCCGGTCGAGGCCGAGGTGGACGTCGGCATGCTGCACATGACGCCTGCCACGTCCGAGGTGGGGCGGGGGGGAGAAGGGGGGGGGGGGCTCTCGACTAGATGTTTGTTCTGGGGGCCTTCCTGGGGTCCGCCGAACGGATCTGTTCGGTTCTAAGGCCCTAATTTGATTTTAATCCAAATCAAATGCGACTCAGGTTGGACTCAAGTCGACGGACGCGACGCAGCATTGACGCACGAGAGGAGCGATTGGCTCCAGGAAGGTCGCCAGAGCGAGCACTCTACCTCGAGCATCGAGGCGCCTGGATCGAGGTCCCGGGGTGATCTCGGGCCTCTCGAGGCGCTCTCGTGGCCACGGCCAGGTCGGCCTCAAGGCTCTGGCCAGAAAAGACCCTTGGGCAGGCCTGGAGGTCGATCTTGAACTTCCGAGCCCAGACCTCTGGCGACTCGGTCCCTCCTCGTTGCCGCGGTACATAGCGATCGCGCCACGCAAAGAAACACGACGGGCGCTTCTTATTGTAGCTGTAGGATGTCTGTTCTTTCCATCTCTTCATCCGGGGGTCGTTGTCGGGCCCCCGCGGACATCAAGTCATGACTCTCGACGAAAAGTGGTCCCCAGGGACAGGGTCCATGGTTTCGGGGGCCCACGCAGTGAAGAAATCACCACGTCTGAGGGTTGGGTCTCGAGCCTGCTTTTTCTTCCCATGCTCCTACTCGTACCCTTACTCGTCGAGGTCGTCCTGCTAGCCGTTTCGGCTCAGGCATTGTCCCCGATGCAGCCGCGTACCATATTTTCATCAGCCATGCCTGCCGCAGCCCGTGCCCTTGGTGTCCTTCTCGCGGCGGCACCCGCCGCCTCCTTTCATCTCCAGCTGGCGAGGGACGACTGCCACACCGCCGAGAAGGGCGAGAGGTGTTACGAGGATCGGGAGTTCAGAAAAGCATGCTGACATATTTGAACCAGCGTGGACCCCCAGACAGTAGGCTATGGCACCCTCGATGTGCAAGCACTGCGCTGAAAACTATGCGGTGCGATTTGTGTGTGATGCAATCTTCGTGGCGCAAGCTACGTGGCGAAAGCTTTGTGATACAAGCTTTATGGTGCAAGCTACGTGACCCAATGTACGTGGTGCAAGCTGTCTGGCCAATGTACGTGGTGCAAGCTGTCTGGCGAAAGCTGTGTGATGCAAACTGTGTGAATCAATCTACGTGGTGTACGCTATCTGGTCCGTGCTATGTGGCGCAGTATAGGGCTACAGCGGCGGCGTTGGACAAGGAATGTCTTCCTGGGGCCCCGACAGACCCCGGCGCCTTCCCGATTGCTTCAAGGCGAGGTGGGTGGCCAACGCTTGGCCGCCCATCGGTCTCGAGACCCTGGGTTCCTTGTCGAAGGCATCCTTATCTAAAACCTCCAAAGCTATTGTGATGCACCGCACAGGATCCGAAGGTATCCTTATCGAAGGTATCTTTATCGAAGGTATCCTTATCTAAAACCTCCAAAGGTATTGTGATGCCATCTATTTATTGTCGAAGGTATCCTTATCTACGTCATTGTGATGCAGGCCATACCGTGTAAGCTGTGTGGTGCAAGCTCTCCGGACGCCAGCGAGGCGCCAGCGGGCGGCCACCAGGCGAAGCCCCGCAGACCCACCCGCCGGCACGAAGCGCCCATGGGGCCCCCCTCGGGCGGGTGCCCTGGGTTTCTGGGTTTTCTCTGGTTTTGCCGTGAGAAGCGTGACTTTCCCACACCAGTAGTCAGTGGACGTCCTGGGGTCTCGGGGTTGGGTTTCCTGTGGAGGGTTTCTCGTGGGCTGGCCTCCACTGTAATCAGGTGGCCGCACGTAGGAACCCCTAGCAAGCGCTGCTGTTTCGGGAAAGTGTTGGACGTCCGCGGGCGCTTCCCCCGCGTTAGCGGGACCCTCGGCGCCGCTCCAGGGGTGCAGCATCGCGGGCGGAGCAAGGGGCCGCGGACGCCCCGAGCTCTTGTTATGTTGCCCTGCCTGCCCTCCCAAGAGGCGGTGGTGTGGGCGATGTGGCGGGGAGTCCTGCACCAGCCCGAGCGATACCCCGGCCTGTCTGGCCTGTCCAGCTTCGAGCAGTTCCAGGCGGCCCTGCACAGCGACCCGCGTGCGGGGTGCGCCCGGCCCTGCCCCTCGCGAGGGCCCACCGCGACCCCCGCGCCTCGCCGGGGGCGGCCGGCGGCGCTGGCGGACGGGCAGTGCGGCGCGCCCCTGGGGGCCGACGCCTGCTACGCGAAGGTCCACGCCGCCATCCGCTACGACGTCGCGCGGCACCCCGAGCTCTACCCGGCGCTGGCGGAGGGCTCCGGCCTCGCAGAGCTGCGCGAGGCCCTGCGCGGATGGGGCGAGCTCGCCGAGCCGTGCCGCAGGCCGTGCGGCGCAGCGCGGGAGCCGCGGGGCGAGCCGGAGCGGATGCCCGCGGCCATGCAGCTGGCAAAGAGGGACTGCCACACCACCATCGAGGGCGAGCCTTGCCACCGGGAGGTGAGGTGGGCGATGTGGGCGATGCGGGCAGGCATCCTGGAGCGTCCCGAGTGGTACCCGAACCTGTCCATCGACTCCAGCTTCGAGGACTTCCAGTCCTTCCTGCATGGCTTGAGTGCGCTCTCGCACGTCTGCCCCGCACCCTGCAAGGCGCAGGCGGCTGCGGCACAGACTTGTCACACCGCCGAGCCGGGAGAGAGTTGCCACACGGAGGTGACCTGGGCCATGACGCAAGGCATCCGGGAGCGCCCTCGGTGGTACCCGAACCTGACGCAGGACTCCAGCTTCGAGGACTTCCAGGCGTTCTTGCACGGGCTGGACTTGTGGTCCCAGACGTGTCCCAGGCCGTGCGATGCGCCAGAGAGGGTGCAGCAGGTCTGCCACACCGCCGTCGAGGGCGAGGCCTGCCACCAGCAGGTCAGGTGGGCGATGCAGCACGGCATCCGGGAGAGTCCCACGAGGTATCCGAGCTTGACGGCCGACTCCAGCTTCGAGGATTTCCAGGCGCTTCTGCACGGCATGGACGCGTGGTCCAAGATATGCCCCAAGCCGTGCGAGGCGCCGAAGCGGGCCCAACCTTTGACCCCCGCCGAGGCACAGCCAGTCCCACTTGGCGAGGTTGTAATCACTCACGTCGACGAGTACCTCTACGCCACGCAGCAAGATGATTCATTCGGCGGGCGTTTTGTGCACACGTGGATGAAGGGGTCGCTGCAGGAGGACCCGCAGGCGCGCTGGAACATCTCGAAGGTAGGTGAGAACTACGTGATTATCCACGCTGGCTCCTTCAAGGGCGAGTACCTCTACGCCTCACAGCACGGCGATTCACGCGACGGGCATTTTGCGCGCACGTGGACGAAGGGTTCGTTGCAGGACGATCCGCAGGCGCGATGGAACATCTCGAAGGTCGGCAGAAACTACGTCATTACTCCTGCCAGCTCCCTCAAGAACGAGTACCTCTACGCCGCGCAGCGCGATGACTCACACGGCCTGCGTTACGTGCACGCGCTGATGACGGGCGTTCTGCCAGCGGACGACCCGCGAGCACTTTGGACGATCACGCCGCTCGCGCCGGAGACGCCCCGGTCCGAAAGATACCCGCGGTGCGTTTGGTCTCCGGTGGGGCACGGCCATCCACGGGGGCACGCCCGCAGGGCTCTCTCGGGGCCATCCCAGAGGCCGTCGGTCGAACCGAGGCTGTGGTCCCGACTGGCCCCCTCCCACGTCCAGGTCCCGTCGGGTCGCCGCTCGTGGCTCTACTTGAAGCCCTCCCGGGGTGCTCTTGGCGGCCTCCTCGGGGTCCCTCGGGGCCTCTGTTGACAGCCCCCTTGAGGCCTCAGAAACGAGAAGGCAAAAGACCGTTGAACAACGACAGTTTTTCCCATGGGTCCTCGTTTTGAAGAGACAGCGCCCCGCGTTCCTTCCTTCATTCCCTCCTCCTCTCCTCCCCCTCTTCCCTCCTCCCCTCCCGGCCTCTGCTCTCCGCATGCCCATCCACTGGGCGATGGGGCATTGCACCTTGCAATGCGAAAAGGGGGGGCCGTCAATTCCAGGGAGAAGGGGGGGCAGATCCTATTACTCTCTTAAGAACATGAACCCATGTGGTACAATCGATTTCGTCAATTTTGGAGTTGTCAGCTCCAGTGCTCGCGCAGTCATCCCTCCAACCTGCACTTGGGTTTGCAAAGCCCATGCGGCGGCGATTGCGATGGGTGCTTGGTGTTGGCTGGTGCATCCCTGCGCCCGCGCTAGTCCGCGCATACATGCTCTCGGCGCAGCGACCAGCTAGTGCGGCGCGACCGACGCGGCCGCGGTAGCGTTGACCGTTCGGCATTTCCCAGCTGGCATTTCAGTGTGAGTCGGTGACATGGGCGGGCGATGTCGACAACGATAGACACTATAATGATAGTAGCGATGATGGTGACGATGAGGACGATGACGACGGCACGGCCAACGACGGCGCCGATGCTGATCACGCCGATGGAGATGACGATGCCCTCGCGTCGGTGATGAAGGTTTTGGAAGGGGTTCGACATGCCAACGCGGCGACGCGCGCGAGTAGACCGCGTGGTATTATTTGACACGGACCGTTCCCCCACCAGCGCGCTTTGCTTGACAATTCATTGTGCGAGACCACTTGTGATTTTTGGTTTTCGGGTCAATCGGATTTGTCTCCGTGCGAAACGTATGGCTTTTGCAAGTTTTTGGCATGCGCGCGCGACGACGCGCGCGTGCGCACTTCGTTCCATGTTTCTTTGCCCGGGATTCTTGAGAACTAAACATTTGTGATCAACTAATAAGCTAGTGCGCGCGCATAGTTTTTTGCATCGAGCGAAGGGGGGGCGATACGGGACCGCCTGGGATGGTATGAATTTAGGATGGGCGACGGGGCAGAGCCATATGTAAAGTGCAATACAACACACGGACAGTGAAGTCCTGGGGGGGGAGACCGATCCTGATATTTTTCATTGCACTCGGCCAATCCAGCCACCGTGCTTGGGGTGTGGGCATGAAGCCTATTGGATGTTCGTTGGGATCTCGTTGGGGGCCTCTCGGGGGCTTTTTGGATGCATTTTGGGCGCCTGTTGGGGGCTGTTCTGTGGCCTCTTGGGGCCTCTTGGAAGCCTCTTGTGGGCCTCTTGGGGCATTTTGGAGGCCTCTTGGGGGCCTCTTGGGGCCTCCTTAGCTCCACTTGAGGCCTCCTGGGGGCCTCGTGGGGCGGAAGGCTCAGATGTTGGGTTCGTGTTTCCTGTCGTAGGTCCCTTTTGGGATCGTCTCGGGTCCCTCGTGGGCCGTCTTGGGCGCCTCTTGGGCCGTCTTGGGGCCATCTTGGGCTGTTTGGGGGCCCTCTTGGAGGCCTCTTGGGCCGTGTTGGGGCCGTCTTGGAGGCCTTTGCGGCCGTCGGGGAGCGTCGAGAAGCCGAAAAGGCGAAAAGGCCTGCATCCTTCAAAAACCTAAAGAACACAAATGATTTGTGCCTCTCGGGGCTCTCTTGGGCGGCTTCTTGGAGACCTCTTGGGCGTCTTGGCGGCCTCTAGGGCCATCTTGGGGCCATGTTGGACGTCTTGGAACGAGCATTGGGCGTCCTGGGGCCATCCTGGACCGTCTTGAAGGCGCCTTCGGGCCCTCTTGGCCCGTCCGGAGGCCTTCTTGGGCGCGGCAAGGTGCCGGGAACCCCGGGGTGGCAACGCCCGGGGAGCCCCGCCAAATTTGGGAATTTGGGTCTGGGCCCAGACCCTTCAGGGCTGAGGACTGAGGCTCCAGGGAATAGGTAAAGGACCTGAGGACACGCCCACTTTGCGCCCAGAGGCATGGTGGCGGATTTTTTGTAGAAAGGAGAATCAAGGTTGTGCAATCTTTGTTATGCAGTCTATGTGGTACAACCTATGTGGAGGCGACGGGGCGGCTACGGCGGCCACATAGCCGCCAGACCCAAGATACAGTCCCGACGACGGGTGGCGACGAGGCGGCGACGGGGCGGTGACGGCGGCCACATCGGGCGGCGATGGCGGCCACAGCCGCCAGACACAAGACACGGACCAGCTCCTCATAACAGAAGTAGGAGCCCCTAAGCGCAAGTATTGCTCTGGGAATGTGTATATGTATGATGCATACATGCGCGCGTGTGTACGCATGTAAGTAAATAAGTCCGTGTATGTTAGGTCATCCATACATGTATGTATGCATGCGTGTATGTATGTCTGTATGTATGTATTTATGTATGTATGCATGTATGCATTTACGTACGTATGCATGCATGTGTATATTTATGTAAATGCAGGTATGCACATGTATGTACGTATGTCTGTTTGTCTGCCTACCTGCCTGCCTGCCTGTCTGTCTGTCTGTCTGTCTGTCTGTCTGTTTGTATGATTGTTTGCATGTGTGTCCGCCTGTCTGTCTGACTGACTGCATGTATGTATGTATGTATGTATGTGTGCCGGTGTATGTATGCATGTATGTATACATGTACGTATGTATGTTTGTCTGCCTGTCTGCCTGCCTGTCTGTCTGTGTATGTATGTATGTATGTATGTATGTATGTATGGGTCTATATGTATAGATACATACATTGTAAGGGCCTTGCGGCCGGTGCCAGCGACCTTGAAGGCGGGATCTCTCCCGGGAAGGGACCCGCCGGGACTGTAGGGGATGACCCCGGTGGAGGGGGCGGGGGGGTGGTAATCTCTTGTCGCCGCCTGTCCACAGGGAGACCCAGCGGGGAGGCGGCAATCTCACCCAAAACCCACCCCCTTTGCCCCCCCTGTCCACAGGGGGTACCACCGGCCGGGACCTGCCAGGACCCCCGGGGGGCGGCACTCTGACTTGGGACACCCCCCCCCCGTCCCCCCCCTCCCCCTTACCCCCCTCCCGTCCCCCCCCCCCGTCAGGAAAGGGAGAAATAGAAAGGAAACGACTTGAGTAATTGCGACGTTTCTTTTCTTTGTTCGTTCTTCAACTGCCTTGGGACTGGCGGCGACGACGAAGAAGACGAAAGCGTCTCACACACGACGAAGGGCCAGCGAAAACATATAGGTGTATGTATATTCACATTTACATATGTGTACGTATACGTGTGTATGTTTGTATACATGCATAAATGTATGTATGAATGTATTTATGGGTGTATATATATGTATTACACCGGAGAAAACCCAATCAGTGGATGATTTCAAAAGTAATACTATGGAACTTGAGATCGATCGTGAGATGGAATCGATAGTGGGGACGCTTATAAGGTCTATCGTGAGACCGAGAGTGAAATCGATTCAATGAGATCGATAGTGAGATCGATCGCGAGATCGTTCATGCGATCTCTAGTGAGATCGCTTGTGAGATCGAAAGTGAGATCGATTGTGAGATCGATGGTGAGATCGATAGAAAAGTGGGTAATGATATCGATAGTGAGACCGATCGATAAGAAGATCGACCAGAAACCCGGGAACCCGGGAGCCTCGCCGCCCTCCGAAATCGGCCCGGAACTTGGAACCGGGAACCCGGGAACCCGGAACCGGGAACCCAGGAACCCAGCGTGCGACCAAAATTGGCGAGACACTTTCGCCAAATCTTTCAACTTCCGCGAGGACTCCTTCAGTGCAAGCACTGATTGGGGAATCTCTCTCTCTCTCTCTCTCTATATATATATACATGTTTGTTTGTCTGCATGCGTGCATGCATGTATGCACGTGTGTTAAGTGTATGTGTGTGTGTGTTCGTACGTGTATGTTTGTAAGTATGCTTGAGTGTATGCATGTATATCTGCGTGTATGTATATACGTATGTATGTATGTCTTTGTATATGGGCATATATATATGCCCTTTTATGTGTATGTGTATGTGTGCATGTACGTATGTGTGTATGTATGTCTGTATGTGCGTATGCATGTATGTGGTTATGTGTGTATGTATGGATGTATATTTGTGTATACGTTGATATATGTATGTGTATATATGTATGTATGTGTGAATGTGTGGGTGTATGTATACATGCATGCATGTGTGCATGCAATTATGTATGTACGCATACATATATGCATAACGTGTACCTGTATGTATGTGTGTATATGTGTGCTTGTACGTATGAATGTGTGTACTTATGTCTGTATGCATGTTTGCATGCATGCATGCATGCATGTATGTATGTATGTCTGTGTGTCTGTATGTATGTATGTATGTGTGTGTGTGTGTGTCTGCCTGTCTGTCGGTCTGTTTTTCTGTCTGTCTGTCTGCTTGCCTGTGTGTCTGTCTGTCTGTACGGAGGGATGTATGTATGCATGTCTGCTTGTCTGTCTGTATGCCTGTATGCATGCCGGTGTGTATGATGAGTATGACTATATCCTTATATGCCTATACATTTATGTGTGCGCATGTGTATATACAATTATGCATAGTTTATACATATGTAAATGCACTCGCACTCACACGCACACCTATATATGTATATATGTACTTCATATATGTGCACATGTATAGATCGATAAGCATGTCGGTGCCCTGCTGGGGAACCATCTTGGGGCTTCTTGGGAGATTCTTGGGCTGTCTGGAGAACATCGTGGGCAGTCTTTGGGCCCTCTGGGGCCATCCGGGGGCGCTCTTGGACCCTCTTGGGCGCTTTTCAGGCCAGAGGACCAACAGGAAGCACTCCAGAACTTACGGGGGAAACTCGGGAAGGCCCTGGAAGATCCTAGAAGACTCTGGGACGGCCCAGAATTTCGGGAGTCCAGCCCCATGAGAATCTAGAAGCTTGGCTGCAGCATCGGCACAGCTGTGAGCCTTGGGGAGTTCCACTTCGTGCCAAGGGCACGGTGGCGGATTAATGCGGAGCAGTAGTTAACTGTTCCCCGAACGGAAAGAAGGAATTGCGTCTGAGCTAGAACAGATCCTTTCCTGAGCCACCTGCGCCCAGAGGGCTGTCGACTGCAGCGAACCGAGTCTCTGGCCACTTCCCCCGCAACTTCATTAAGCCTTCTCCGCGGTGGCGCTCAACGTTTGCACGAGAGTGGACACGACTCAGACCTCGAGCTGCGCCGTCGCCAGGGTGCAGCACGCATTGCCTCCGTGGAGACTTCGCTCGCGAGTCGAGTCGAGTCGTCCGCGGCGCCTCGTCTGCAACGGAGGCCCGGGGCGACTCGGCTCGTGGGTGAAGCCGCGAAGGGCCCCGTGGCTTCAGACGCCCCCAGGAGGGCACTCAGCAGGCCTGCCGCACGGCCGCCGAGGGCGAGGCCTGCCACCGGCAGGTGCGGTGGGCGATGCAGCACGGCATCCTCGAGCACCCCGGCTGGTACCCGGGCCTGACGGCCAACTCCAGCCTCGAGGAGTTCCAGGCGTTCCTGCACGGCACGGACGCGTGGCGGGGGACCTGCTCCAGGCCGTGCGTGCCGCAGGGGGCCTCTGCGCCCCAGCGCCGCCTGCCCTCGTACCGCGCGCCCCCGCCCGAGGCGCAGGGAGCGGCCTCGGCGTCCCAGGGCCAGGCGCCCGAGCGGCGCAGCCTGCCCTCGTACCGCACGCGCGCGCCCGAGGCGCAGGGGCCGGCCTCGAGGTCCGAGGGCCAGGCACCCGTGCAGGGATGCCGCACCGCGGCGGCCGGCGACGCCTGCCACGAGGAGGTGCTGTGGATGAAGAGGGAGGGCATCCTGCTGCACCCCGCGTGGTTCTCGTGGGGGAAGAGCTGCGTACTCATAAGCTGCCGGAGCTCCGCGCGGGTTTCCTGGATCGGCGCTGGGCCCCCCTAGCGGCGCCTCTGGCGCCGTCCCTGGCACGCTCCGCGCGCCAGGGAGTGGGGTCCAGCGCCGATCGAAGACCTCCGTGCGGAACACCGAGACTTTCGGCTTTTGCCGTATTTTCTTCCTCCAGGTTTCCAGGCCTGGCCAACGACTCGAGCTTCGAGGATCGAAGAACAACACATCACACACACATCATCTTTCGGAGCTCCGCGCGGATTCTCTAGATCGACGCTGGACCCCTTTTGTTGAGGACCTTCTGGTGTCTATGCTTTTGTATTTATATCCGCCTCTAGAGGACGTCCAGGCCTTCCTCAACGAGATGTATCCCATAGTCCAGCTCTGCCCTGACAGGCCATGCCGGGCCGCGGACGCCGCCGCCGAGGCCACGGAGGTGGCCGCGGTGGTGAAGGACGCTGCGGTCGAGGCTGCGGAGGCAACGGCCAGGGCCTCGGAGGTCGCGGCTGAGGCTCAAAGAAGAAAAACACGTATAGCCAGAAATTTTCGGAGTTCCGCGCGGATTTTTTACAGCGGCGCCTCGGGCGCCTTCGGCGCCGCCCCTGCCGCGCTCCGCGCGCCAGGGAGGGGCGTCCAGCGCCGATCCAAAACATCCGCGCGGAGCTCCGAAAGTTTGTGCTAATGCAAGCTCTTGTTCGCCTCCCCCTCCTTCTTCCCTCCCCTCCCCTCCCCCCAAGCACGCCTGCTCATACTGCGTCAACTGTTTCACCTTCGCCGCCAGCGCTGCTCGTCAAGGCAGGCCGTCCGAGCTAACGGGGCGTGCCGCTTTCAGGCGTCCGATCGGACTCTTGCCTTGCCCCCCTGAGGCAGGGACCACGGCCTCCGAGGTGGCGGCCGAGGCTGATGGGCTGGCTTTCCACCACCACCATGAGTTGGAGGGGGGACGGAGGTGAAGGATGAGGAGGAGGGAGAGGAGGAGGAGGAGGAGGAGGAGGAGGAGGAGGAGGAGGAGGAGGAGGAGGAGGAGGAGGAGGAGGAGGGAGGAGGAGGAGGAGGAGGAGGAGGAGGAGGAGGAGGAGGAGGAGGAGGAGGAGGAGGAGGAGGAGGAGGAGGAGGAGGAGGAGGAGGAGGAGGAGGAGGAGGAGGAGGAGGAGGAGGAGGAGGAGGAGGAGGAGGAGGAGGAGGAGGAGGAGGAGGAGGAGGAGGAGGAGGAGGAGGAGGAGGAGGAGGAGGAGGAGGAGGAGGAGGAGGAAGAGTAGGAGGAGAGGAGGAGGAGGAGGAGGAGGAGGAGGAGGAGGAGGAGGAGGAGGAGGAGGACCAGTGTAACCCCAAGAGTTACCAACGATGTTGGAATTAACCATCTCTCCAAGTTTCCTCTTCAAAGGCCCCTACAACGTGTCATATCTATTAAGGGAACTGCCTCGTTGGAAGACAGCCGTTTGAAGATCCTGAAGCATGCCAAAACATTGTTCTCGGGATTTCAACGCCACGTATGAGTCTGACTGCTGCGTCTTGACGATCCGGAATCGTGCCATAACGTTTTTTTTTGTTGTTGTACTTTTTTTTTTGCTCTTTTTTGATTTCAACACCGCGAACCAACATAACTGTTGCGCCCGCATGATCCGGAGCCCCTCCAACACACAATTTCTGGTACGTTGATCATGGGCATCCGTGAAACTCTTGCAAATGTTTAAAAAGAAGGTGCCCGGCGCTAAGGCGAGAGCCACATTTTGGAAAGGAACCGCCCTCAATCCGTCAAAGTATTGCAAATTTTGAAAAAGGATGTGCGCGGCGCTATGGCGAGAGCCACATTTTGAAAACGACCCGCCCTCCATCCGTGAAGCTCTTGCAAATTTTGAAAAGGAATGTGCGCGGCGCTACGACGAGAGCCACATTTTGAAAACGACCCGCCCTCCATCCCTGAAGCTCTTGCAAATTTTGCAAACGAATGTGCGTCGCGCTAAGACGAGAGCCACATTTTGAAAACGACCCGCTCTCCACCCCTGAAGCTTTTGCAAATTTTGGAAACGAATGTGCGTAGCGCTGAGACGAGAGCCACATTTTGAAAACGGCCCGCCCTCCATCCGTGAAGCTCTTGCAGTTTTTGTAAACGAATGTACGCGGCGCCAAGACGAGAGCCACATTTTGAAAACCACCCGCCCTCCAACTGTGAAGCTGTTGACACGTTTTAAGCTTCAGAGCCGTACATGGTGAGGAAGTCTCAGGCGAAACGCCCGGCCCGCCCTAAAAACTTGCCCTTGGGTGCGACAGGGAGAAGTTATCTATAAGGAAAAGGAAGAGGAGGAGGAGGAGGAGAAGGAGGAGGAGGAGGAGGAGGAGGAGAGGAGGAGGAGGAGGAGGAGGAGGAGGAGGAGGAGGAGGAGGAGGAGGAGGAGGAGGAGGAGGAGGAGGAGGAGGAGGAGGAGGACCCCCTCCCCCTCATACTTATGGTGGTCGCGGTGGAAAACAATCCCGCCCGAGGCTGCGGGGGGCCTGCCTCCGGGGCGCCGCCCCCCCGCTGCTGCAGGAGCCTCGGCCAGCACCCTGGAGGGCGACAGGGAGGACCTGGCCGGCAGGGCCACGTCGCCGTTCCTGGCGCAGCCGCTGGCCGCCACGCCCGCAGCGGGCGGGGAGGAGCAGCAGGAGGAGAGGAGAGAGGCGTCGGAGGCCCTGGTGGATGCAGCACCGACGCGAGGGACCTCCTCGTTGGAGGCACCGCCGCCCCCGAACTCCAGCGGCTGCTTCGTCTGGTTGCCCAGCGGCTGCCGGGGGCAGCGCTTCCCCGCGGCGGTGCCCTGGAAGAGGGACGAGTGGGGCCAGGCCAACAGGCACTCTGGAGACAGCAGGGCCGCCTGCGAGGCCAGGAAAAGGGACTTCGATGCCTGGTGCTCGGTGGACGACGCCGTGATGCTGCACGTGCCCGGCCTGCCCGTAGTGGGCCCTGGAGAGGCCAGGGCTCTTTTTTTTTTTTTTTCCCCCCCGGTTCTGTTTTGCAGTTTTGTTTCGGTGCGTTGGGCATTGTTTGGTTGCAGTTTCGTCCCAGCTTGTTTCACCATTTTGGTTCCAGCTCCAACCCTGGACAGTTTTGAGTCCGTCTCCAGGGGCAGTTGTTCTGGTTTGCTGTCGATATCTCTCTAAAAGGGTGTCATGCTCCAGGGATTTAGCTGCCATGATACGCCCGTGTTGAAACGCAACACGTGCCGCGTTCAAAACATCTGTGTTCACACGCTGTGTGTTGGCTCGGCTCGTGTTGGCTCACGTGCTGGCGAACGTACCGCGCCAGACCTACCTACGTACTCAGTCGACGTGTTGAGCTTCGTGTCGACACGCGACTGGCTGCGTGGTGCGTGTCGGAGCAGCCAAGTCCAGGGACAGTCTTTTGAAAACGGCAGACAAACGGCTCTCGGCGGCGAGCGAGGGGTGGAGGTGAGAAGGAGAAGGCCTTCTCAGAAGGTTCGGGCGCCCCCAGGCCTCCCGAGAAGTCTCCTGAGCCCTCCCCGAAGACGACCCAAACACTCCTCGGCAGGCGCGAGGGCTTCCGAGGAGCTCCGCCGCCCTCTGCGAAGGCCTTCTCCCTCGGGGCCTTCCCCCCCCCCCCCCCCTCGCTCGCCGCCGAGGCCCCGCCGTTCCCGGGAGCCCGCCAAGGCAGCGCTCCCGCAGGGCGGCGCCCCGCCCCTGCCGCGGGGCGCGCCCGCGGGCGCGGGGGCCGCGGGCCCGCCCGCGGGCGCGCCGCCCCCGCCGGCCCGCGAGGGGTGCCACGTCTGGCTGCCGAGCGGGTGTCGCAGGCACCGCCTGCCCGCGGAGCCGCGCGGCCGCCCGGGTCGGTCGAGCAGGGGAGCGACTCGAGAGTTTTTTTTGTTTGTTTTTAGTTTTTGTTTGGTTTTTTATTTACACATGGTTCATTTCTAATCCTTCGAGAGTTCCTTGTTTTTTCTTTTGGGGGGGGGGCCAAGATCCTTGCGTTTCGAGTTGTTCTATCCTGGGCCTCTTCCTGGCCACTGGGGGGCCAGGAACAATCAGAAACGAGCCCCACTAGAAATGAACACGATTAGAAATGAACGACGTGTAGGCCTCTCCTAGACGGGGTCCGAGTACAGGTGGGGTCGGGGGATCGCGCCGCATCGCCGATGTATCGGCGATGCGGCTCGATGCGGAGCCCGATTTGCTCCACGTCGACGTCGCGGATGCATCGCCGACGTCGACGATGCATCGCCTGTGTATCGCCGATGCATCGCCGATGCGGCGCGATCCTCCGACCCCATCTACTTCGACCCCATCCAGGAGGCCTGTAAGAATGGACGTGCCCCCAAATATCGATGCTTCCCTTCGAGGCTGAGGAGATGCGCACATGGCTTCGTAGATCCACGGGGCATTCTACGCAGGTGTCGCAGATTTGGCGGCAGCTCCAAGTTTGGGGCATATCAACTCTGTACGGTCGAGCATCCGATTCAGAAACCTCCTCCCGACAAGCTGGGCCAGCGTTCCTTGGCCAGCTCGCCGGAGAGTTGGCCCCGTCTCTTTGGCGCGTGCGCTCCCCTGGCGCTCAAAGGCAGAGCTTTGCCCAGGCGTGCCTCTCGAGAAACCTCCAGGAGGTTGGCCCAGATTTCCTGAGTGATGCGCTTCTCGGATCTCCGGGCTTGGACAGTGCAGGCACGCAGGACAGCATGGCGCTGCTGGACTTCATGGCCACCGGCATGCTACCTCGTGGCAGAGGTCGGGAGCCTTGAGACGGGGGTCAATGCAAACGGGGGTCAGCCAGGGCACCAGATCCTGCAGGATCCTGCGAAGACCCCCTCTGGCTGACCCGGGTTAGCGAGCCGCTCGTGGCCGCGAGGCGGCTGCGCATATTGGCTGACCCGTGTTTGCGAAGATCTGCGTTGCATTTTTTTTTCTCCTGCAATGCAGTTTTTGGTTTCCTGCCGACCCGGGTCTGGATTGACCCGGGTCAGAAGATCCCCGAAGAGGAGGAGGGAGGACTCTGGTCCAGACCCCCAAGTCGTCTCTTGATCGTACTCTCGGCTGTAGCCGACCGCCTGCGCGAATCCGTGGGGTCGATCGGGGCAGGCGGGCTCGGCGGAGCCCGCGGGGAGCAGCGGCCTCGCCGTGGGTGCTCGCTCACGGGTGCTCCGGGAGCCCGCTGGAGTCTGCACTCTGTGGGGCCTCCCGCTCGTGCACTGCAGGCCTGCACACATCGGAGAGGGCCGGGTTCGCGAATGTCTGTGCGAAGCGATAATATGAGGATGGTAGTGGAGATAAGGACTGGCATTATACCTTTATTATGAGGTGATGCTGATCTACACTATGAATTTTGTTCACTGCGGTCGTGTGCCAATGCGAAATATTCCAGTACAGGCACGGAGAGGGCTGAGTTCGCCAGGTCGCTGGCCAGAGTGCCCGTCAGTTCGAGGAGGGGATCGACTGCAGAATCGATTTGCCCCCAGGTTGGCTTTGCCGCCGAACCTGCGGAAGACACGCCGACTGCTCCGTAGATCTATCGAGCATTCTACGGATTTGTGCCATGGGCTCCACGAGGAAATCAAGTTTGGGGTACATCAGTTCTTGTATAGTCGATGCCCTCCCTACTCGATCAGTGGAGCCACCTCTAGAGGGGCGCTGCGGAGGCACAGGCCGCCCAACTCGTGGGGTCGACCGGGGCAGGCCGGGCCGGCGGAGCCCGTGCCGCACCGCTGGCGCACCGGCGCTGTGCGGTTCGCTCGGGACGGGGGTCCGGCCTCCTCTCAAGCAGTGGCTTGGCGTCCTGGCGTGTCTATAGGCCTACCGAACAATGTTCTAAGAACCTTTTGTGGTTTCCACGAAGTGTTCTTAGAACATTTCTGGCTGGGGCTGTCTTATTTTAGCACATCGGGTTTCTGTTCTAAGAACATCGTTTTCGTTCTTCGAATATTTTCGGGTTCTAAGAACATGTCGTGGTAGGCCTATAGAAATGCTGGGACGGTCGGTCCCTGCTCAATCCTCGCGCCCGCCGCCTGGTGGATGCCTCGGCGGTGCGGCGAGGTCCTCCGGCCCCATTCGGGGGCCACACGCGGACCCCACCCCACCACCCCACAGGGCTCATGTCGATTCCTCCGATTCGATTCGATTCGAATTCGATGGATTCCGATTCCGACTCGATTCGACATCGGCTTCCGATCTGGGATCCGATGTCTCCATAGAGGCTTACTAGCCCGCCGGTGCTTCCCGACTCGGCCGCCGACTGCCGCCGACCCGACTCACTTCGGCCGCCGAGCCTCGGCTCCTGTCGATATCGGTTCTGGGCCCTCCTGGCCCCACGACTTCTCCAAGGGGGGGAGGTGAGGGGCATCGGCGGCGCACGTGGCTCTCGGGCCCCAGGGAGCCCTCGGGCCCCCTGCTCCCTGGGCGGCCCCCCGAGGAGTGGCGGTGGACGCGGGACGAGGCCGGGGAGGCCCTGGTGCCCCCCGCGGGGCAGAGCGAGGCGGCGTGCCTGGCCCGCAAGGGCTTCTACGACCGACTGTGCGCGGTGGCCGACGCGGTGATGCTGCGCGTCCCCGGGGCCGCGCGGGAGGCGCCGTGGCAGGAGTCTCAGGTCGGGGGCGGCAAAGAGGGGGGTGATGACTACAGTCGAGGCGTTGACCTAACGAACCCTAAAGAAGGAACGAGGCCCCTTCTTCCTATAAGTTCAACCTCAATTTCCCATGGAACACCTCAGGAAAACCCGAGGCAAACTTTGAAACAATCCAGGAACACCGAGCCCCTCCTAAACGAAAAGGGTTCCTTCTTCAGCGCCCCGACTGTAGGGGGGGGTGGACATCATGGCGGGGGCCATGATACTTCCCCAGATTTCATGGCGCCTCTTCTTATTTCATTGCGTCCCTGGCCCACCCGCTGGGCCGCGCACATGCCGCCGGCCATGATTTGCACCCCTCCTCGTGGACACCCCCCTCTTTGCCGCCCCCGATCAGAGGAGGAGAAGGTACCCATACCTCTACCCTCACCCCGTTTTCCCCTTTTTGGGCCTCCTGGGAGGCCCTCGTCGCCGCCGCTGCATTCGCCTCGAAAGCTTGGTCAGAACGCACCCCGGGAGAGGTCTGGGGAGTAGCGGTATCGGTACCTTGTGGTTTCCCCAGAGTCGACTACACGTCAGAGTGACCTTTCGCCGGAGTGACCTTTGGTGCGGGCCCAATGGAGCCCCCCGATCGCTGAACGCGGAGCGGTAGCAGCGGCCTGCGCGCCCAGGTTTGGCCCCCCCGCGGCCTTCCAAAAGCCGCGCACCAAAGGTCACTCTTGCCCAGGGTCGCTCCTGCGTGTGGCCGACAGGGGTCGCGCCCAGTGGAGGCAGGGGCATCGACGATGGAAATGGGCGGACCGTGGAGAGCGTGACGGGACCGGCCCCCGGGTCAGCCGAATCTGCAGCCGCGTGGCGTGGCCGCGGTCGGCCAGCCCCTGCACATCGACCTCAGATACGGGCGTACGTGGTGTGCCCCGTCGCCCCTCCGCTGTGACTGGACATTCCTAACATCGGGGATCACAGAAGCGTGCCGGCCGTGCTGCCCGTTGAGTTTTCTGCTGCGGCAGGTGTGATACTCTATTGCTTCAGGCAGCTTCTTTGACTTGCGATGGATTGCATGCAGGTTAGTGGTAGGACGAATGGGTAACGGACCGTGTCCCCGCACATTAGAAAAATGCTTCACGCTTCGCGTGCTGCGCCCATCGAACTAGAGACGGTTGCCGCGCCCAGTTTTGGGAGACCGCTTGGCGGGCCCGTGGTGTGTGTGTGTGTGGGTGGGTGTTTTCCGCCTCGTCCTCCTCGGCCATTCGGTGGGAATGAGGGGGGAGGAGAAGGGAGGTCGGAGCCGAATGGGCACACACATGGATTGCAGGGGAGGGGCAAGAAGAAGGGAGGAAGGGGAGGAGGGAAATGGAAATTGCCATGGCCATTTCGCAACGCGAGGAAAGTATGCACGAGGCGTGCCCGCTCAGATCAAGACGATCACGAATTAGCCGAAGACTGGAACCCAGTGGGGAATGCAGGCGTGTAACCCTGACCTCCCGATACTCAATTACTCTCCCTTTAGCACTGATTGCTGTCTATCCACGGTCAATGCAGTTTTGGTCAGCGAAGAGAGGCGGCAAGGCCGATTTTTTGGGGGAAAGTTGCGAATCGAAGTTTCTTTCTTCTTATTATGTTGAGTAGCGAAGACTCCTAAGGATTCCGATTGATGTCCTCAGGGATCCGATGGATGTCCTAGGGAATCCTATGGATGTCCGATGGATTTTGATGGATTTCCGAATGAATCCTATGGGTGTTCGAAGAACTCCGATGAATGTTCTACAAAGGCCTCAGGCAATCTTCTGGAATTCGTGAGGCATCCTGCGCATTTCCCGCGGAATCTTATGGATGCCCGAAGGAAGTGTATATATATATATATATATATATATATATATACATTTATAGATTGCCTCAGGAGTCCGATGGATTTCCGAAGGCAATCTGTATACATGTCCTAGGGATCCGATGGATGTCTTAAGGAAACCAGTCGATCCGCCGCCCCCTGTTGGCTTAGGGGTGCCTGGCGTGCTGAGTCCATTCGCTTTTGGTTTCGGTTCTCTTCCCTACAGAACTCTCCCTGGGGCTTCGGCCCGTCCCGCCGGCCGCCCGAAAGGCTGCACAAGGCAGCATAAACCACCTCAACGACCAGAACAACTTCGTCAAGACGGCTCAAGATGGCCTCTAAGATGGTCACGTTGGCCCAAGATGGCCTCCAAGATGGCCCAAGATGATTTCCAAGTCGCCAAAGACGGTCCAAGATGGCTTCCAAGATGGCCCGAGAGTCCAAGAAGCCTCCAAGACGGCCCAAGATGGCTCCAAGATGGCCTCAGACTGGCCAAGAGGCCCTCAAGAAACCTCCAAGACGCCCCCCAGGAAGCCCCGAAAGGGCACAAATCATTGATTTTCCTAAGCTGCTGAAGGATTGTTGCATTTTCTTCTTATCAGCTCTCCGACGGCGCAAGAGGCCCCCACCATCGTCCCAAGAGCGCCCAAGAGGCCTCCAAGATGGCCCCATGACAGCCCAAACACGAACCGACACTTCAAGCCTTTCGCCCCAAGAGGCCCCCAGGAGGCCCCAAGAGGCCCCCAACAGAGCCCAAAAGGCTCCAAAGAGGCCCCAAACGACGCCCCACGAACACCCCAAACGGCCCCCAAGAGGCTTCCAAAACTGCCAGGGGCCCCCGCCCCTGGGAGGCCTTCCGCAAATTCCAAACGAACTTCTCGACGCTGCAAAACGCTCCAAGAGGCTCCGAGGATCTTCCCATGACGGCCAAACTTGCTTCAACAGCACCCCAAGACGGTCGAATAGTCTTCAAAAGCACCGAGGAGATGTCCAAGACGGCCCGAGAGGACCCAAACCGCGGCCCAGGATTGGGAACGTGAGCCGAGAACCCGAGATCTTCGCCCCAGGAGACAACCAGGAGACTTCAACCTCAAGAAGTTCCAGTGAGGCCCAAAAGAGCCCCGAGAGAGGCCCCGAGGGCACTTGAGAAAAACTGGAATTCCAACATTTGTCTTTAAAGTTCGCTTGGCAGCTTCGCTACGCTTGCAAACATGATCGACCCACGAGCCCGGAAAGGAAAATAGAAATGTAAGGCATGACGACGCTTCAAAGACACCTGCTTGGGCGACGGGCAAATCCAATGCCGAATGTATCGATCTTGATGTGCCGTGCCGAGGACTGTGCTGTGCTGCGCCGTGCTGAGCTGCGATGTGCCATGCCGCGATTGTGCTCTATACCGTTGTGGATCGTGTCCTCCTTTGCATTCGAGTCCTGACCGAACTGATCTGGATCTTAAGCTCGAGCTGCCTGAGCACACAGTAGCTGCCTCAGAGCTAATTGACAGGGGGACATGCCAGGAGGACGCGCCGCAGAACGTCCCAAGGGACGCGCCAGGCGACGTGCCAGGGGACGTGCCATGGGGACGCACCGCGGGACGTGCCAAGGGGACGCGCTACGGAACGTGCGCGACGTGCCACGGGACGTGCCAGGAGACGCGCCGCGCGACGTGCCAGGGGACTCGCCGCGGGACGCGTCACGGAACGTGCTAAGGACCGTGCCAGGTTGCAATGCTGAGTGTATCGGTTTTGATGAACTGTGCCGAGGGCTGTGCTGTGCTGCGCCGTGCTGAACTGCGATGTGCCATGCCGCGATTGTGCTGTCTAGCGTCGTGGATCGAGTCCTCCTTTGCATCCGAGTCCTGACCGAACTGATCTGGATCTTAAGCTCGAGCTGCCTCAGCACATAGCAGCTGCTCCAAAGCTAACTGACAGGGGGACATGCCAGGAGGACGCGCCGCAGAACGTCCCAAGGGACGCGCCAGGCGACGTGCCAGGGGACGCCCCATAGGGACGCACCGCGGGACGTGCCAACGGGACATGCTACGGAACGTGCGACTTGGACACGTGAAAACAATCGTTTCGAACAAGACATTCTCGACACATCCTCATGCTAGACATCCGCCGGGGCAGCCCGGACACGTGCAAACAAGCGTCTCGCTCGAGACATCCTCAACAAGTCCTCATGCTAGACATCTGCCTAGGCACCCTGGACGCGTGAAACCAAGCGTCTCGCTCGAGACATCCTCAAGACAAGGGCACGTGAAAACAACATTTCGCTTGAGAGATCCTCTGGATTCTGCCCCACAGGAGAGAACAATCTAGAACACAAAGCAAGCGTTTCGCTCGAGGAAAGAGCGCGTTCTGTGGTCGTTTGAAGGGGGGGGGGGGGGAAACCGACCCCCCCCCCTGGATGGAGGGGGGGGGGTTCGACCCCCCCCCCCTTGCGTGACGGAGGGCGGGGGGGGGTTCGAACACCCCCCCCCCTCCCGTGTTTCCCCTCTCCTCGGGCCGGCGCTTGCGTCGGCGACGGCGACGGCGGCGGGGACGACGATTTCCATTTTTGGGCCGGCGCCGGCGCCTGCGGCGGCGGGCGGCGGTGGCGGGGAGCGTCGACGACGACGACGGTGGTGGTGGTGGTGGTGGTGGTGGGTTGTGGTGGTGGTGGTGGCGGTGGTGGTGGTTGTTGTGGTGG